CGATTCATTAATGCAGCTGGCACGACAGGTTTCCCGACTGGAAAGCGGGCAGTGAGCGCAACGCAATTAATGTGAGTTAGCTCACTCATTAGGCACCNCAGGCTTTACACTTTATGCTTCCGGCTCGTATGTTGTGTGGAATTGTGAGCGGATAACAATTTCACACAGGAAACAGCTATGACATGATTACGAATTCGAGCTCGGTACCCTGTCTTCCTTTTCAACGCCGTTTTTCGGGGATTTCGGATTTTCTTTGAATTTTTTCGCAATAATATTTGAAGAACAGATAACTTTTAACACATTTTAATGCAATAAAAATTTTTGGTCGGAGTCCCCCTTTAAGACTATTTTTACTCTTATTTATTTCCTTATTTTCAGCCAAAAAATCACTGAATTTTCAGTCCATTTTTCGCCCAACTTTGTCTAGAAAATCGAAAATTTGAAGGTCCATTTTCAGCCCATTTTTCGGCAGTTTCCACCTCAAATTTTCAATTTTCAAGTCATTTCCAGCAATTTCCATCCTCCATACCCCTACCTGAATGCTCGGCTTTTGCAAGTGTCCCAAATTACTCGTCGTCTGACGTGGCTCCTGATTCAACGCCATCGATTGTGGATTGATCGTTCGGAACGCGTCGATCACCACCTTTCCCTTCACCGATTGAATCGGATCAACGACAACGGCAACTGCACGGTCGGACAGGGCTTCGAACGACTGTTGAGTGTTGATATCGACGCCTGACAGCCAGCAACCGAATCCTGGATGCGAGTGATACCATCCGACGACCATTTCCGGGCGGCCTGTTTGCTTGAGCATGTCGAGCATCTTTGCTTGGAACACTGGGTCTACGGCTTCCACGGAGACTCCCTGGAAGGTTTCAATTTTTTGAAATTTTGGGATTTTCGGGGGAAAAGCCTTTTTTAGAGGTTGAAATTCAAATTTCTCAAGGTTCTAGACGACGAAAAAATCAATTTTTCTAAAAATTTTAACCTCACAATTCCTATTTTTGCTCGGAACGTTCTTTAGCGAAAATGTGGATTTTGAAAGAGAAAAATGAATCATGATTTTCAGGTTAAAATTGACTAAAAATCACATTTTCAGAGTAAAAACAGCTTGAAAATCATGATTTTCATAGTAAAAATGGCTTGAAAATTATGAATTTTAGATTAGAATTGACTAAAAATTGGGAATTTCAGGTCAAAAATAACCTACAAAACGCTTGAAAAAAAACGCTTGAAACGCTTGAAATTGATGAAGTCTAAGTGAAAATTGACCGAAAATCATGATTTTTGAAGTAAAAATCATCAATTTTCGATCTAATTTACAGCGAAATCAAATTTTTCGCCTAAAAATCGATATTTAGGCCTAAAATCACGATTTTCCCAATAATTCCGTACAGTTCCCGACTGTGGCATTGCGAAGACATCGATGACGTTGACAGTGTAGTCGTCGACGAACTCTCCCAACATCAGACCCATCACCTCCATCGGAACACCGGCTCTTCCGTGTTTGAGCATTTTCAGAAGGGCCAACGAGGAAATGTAGACAGTTTCAGACGTGTCGACTTGATTCGAGTCTTGTGGCGCTGCGCCAAATTGGCTCAAATTGCCGCCGAGGCCTCCGAGTCGCAAGAATCGCTCCATTCCTCTCTGCAAAACATTTTTTTTGAAATTTCAGACTTTATCCGGAAAAAGCGCCGTTCACGACAACACAGAACAACATAAAAATGAATAATAAGCTCAAAAATTACCATTTTCAAAAGTTTTTTGCTTAGTTTAGCCGGGAAAATACGAGGAAAAGTGGGTGAAATTTCGCTGCGAGGATGACAATTCAAATTGTGTGCAAACACCGCGACGCAAACATTGCGGACGCGGCATTTTAGTCTACGCGCAACACTTCTTTTAGGGGTCGAAAATAGAGGTTAGGGAAGGAATATGAAGGTTTCAGAGTGGAAAAACCGTAGAAAACACCTTAAAGAACCTATAAATCATGAAAAAAATTTTTGAAATCGGTGGAAAACTGGGAAAATGGGGAACAACTGAAAATTAGGAAAATTCAGAAAAAATTCAGGAAATTAAGGTTTTTTTCGATATCGTTTTAGTCTTGAAGCAAAAAACGAAGAAAAGGCCTGAAAAACCGGATAATTTATTGGAAACTGCGAAGAAATTCGAATTCTTCCTCTTCCCGCTGCTTTTTCATCCACGGGTCTCGCCACGAAAACAATTTTTTTGACATGCGCCTTTAAAGAAAAGTACGGTAGCTGAATAAAAAATATTTTTTAATGCAATTTTCAGCATAAAATCCATGAAAATCGCTGACTTTTTCTGGAAAAAAATTTAAAAAATAGAAAAAAAATCAGAAAACCCCTCAAAATTTAAATTTCAACACAAGATAGATTGGAAACCTGTCCCATTGAATTTCTCAAAAATCCAACCAGTTTTTTAAATCTTCTTGGCTTTTCAGAATTTCTTCCTTCATGTGTGACCGTTCGCCGAAAGTCACAGATTATCCGATAATATGACCCTCTTTTCTCTGTACACTTATTATTTTTCTCCGTGCCTCTGTTTGTCCGGATGTCCCCTTTTTCCACTTAATGCATTTGAAAAGACTTGAAAACCTTTAGAAAAATCCAGAAACGCGGAAGACAAAGAGAAGAAAAAAACAGCGGAAGATTTCGATTTCGTTTTGAAGGCCGAAATTGTTGCATAATTGAGATTTTAAGGAAGAAAAATGAGGAGAAAATCTGGCTAATTGAAGGAAAGAAAGTAGAAGAAAATTATTAGTCTTATTGTTAGCTTTTTGGGAATGCTTTTACCTTTTCTTTTTTTTTTGATTTTCTGACATGCGCCTTTAAAGAAATGTAGGGTAGCTGATGAAAATTATATTTTAAAATCGAACTTTCAGCATAAAATCTATAAAAATCGCTAACTTTTTCTGGAAAAAAAAGTTAAAAAGACTCGAAAAATTTTCTTCGAAATTTTTCGAATTTCGGAATTTTGAATTTATGGGAATCCCGTTTTTTTTCCAATTATTAGTTTCATAGAATTTATATATTTGATTAGACATTTTTTAAAGAATTTCTCAAATTTCTGTTTTT